CCCACACACACACACACCCCCACAGCCCCCTACACCTTCACAAATTCCACCCCACCACACCCACACAACCACACCCACCCCACAATCATACGAAGTACCCACATAATTTTGCATAACTGAGTTTTTCTGCACATAATTTTGAGTTTTTAAGCTGTGCGATTAAAATCACGATTAATTGCGACTAATTTAAAACTAATTGCAATGAATTTTTAAAAAATTATTTGGCAGCTCTATTTCTAATCAATGTTACTGTAATTTCTGCTACTTGCAGTACAGTTGTGAACTCATTTTGGGGGAAAAAAGGATATCAGTTTATGTAACTCAGAAGTATGTGCACAGAAAATCAGAAGGCAAGAGCTAGTCAGGGAAGAAAAGCTCTTCACAACTGCAATGAAAACAGTTTGCAAATACAATTCAGGAACATGAGTGGCCTTTCTTTATAGGTCCCAAACTGTACTTTGGAAGGCTGGAGGAGCATTGTTCGTCAGAAATAAGGGTTTCAAAACTGTTTTTAAGAATAACTACAGTCAAGGATACATAGCCAAATGATTATTTCTTAATTTGGAAAACCTCAAGTTCTTTACTTATGCTCAGTACATTTTATGGAGGAGATGAAGGATAAATGTTCCTCCATAAAAATCAGTATTGTAAACATGGTTTTCTAAATATTGACTCTCATATAACCCATCTCTCAGAACCATTGGTTTTGAACCAGAAAGTCAGATTAGGAAGTGACAAGGTAGCAAGAGATCATAAGAAACATGACCAAAAATCAAGAAGCATTCCTCTAACCAGTAAGGCAAGGAAAAGCAGTGATTTATCCTACCTCCCAGATGGCCGAAACTAGTACTAAATAGTTTTTAGCCTCCAAATACTCAAATACAACATGTTTCCGTGTTATCTGCTCAACAGCTGCTCATTTTTTAAGGCTAAAAATGATACTTCATTCACGCATGAAAATGGCAAATAATATAGTGCATACTTAACATAAGTATAATTTATATTCCATAGTTTTCTATTAATTCATTTCAGAACCATAGTGTAATCACTTAAACTGTTAAGATTCTTTAAAATGGTTTTAGGAAAGATTTTTTTCAGGCTTTTCAACAACATTAACCATTTTAAAATGCTACGTTTTGACTATCTTCATGACAGAGCATACTCTAACTACCCTGGGAATACTGTTTGCACCAAAAAAGATACCAACATTTGCTATTCTAATATTGCATTTGTTTTCACATATGGGATGATAGAAAAATCAGAAGTGGCATAGAGTTGTTTATTGAAAACCATGGGGGAAAATAAAATTCCAGAAGTGAAGCGCATAGTATGGATCAACAGTCATATAGTTTTGATAGAAAATGTTTCTAATAAAAGCAAATTAGAAGCCCATGATCAAAATACAAGTCAAGCAGACGTTTAATTACATGGCAACTAATGTGAACTGCAAGAATCTAGAAGACCACATGCTTACCCGTCCTCGTTCCGTAAGGGTTGTCAACATGATGATCAATGTTAATCTGTGATCCCAGACTACCTGCCAGAAATGTGCACAGGTATGTGGAAGAGGCCCCTGAGTGGCAATATATCTGTTCACGATGCCAGCGGAAGGAATTTCCATCTATTAAGAAACGGAAAATCTTACATAAAGTTTACCCTCACTACTAAAGTAATTACAGCTTCCTGTTAAACATTTCTTTTGTATAGGTGAACTTCTGAAGGAAGATTAAAGGAAGCAAGTCAACCAACAAGATTGTTAACATCACATCAAAGATCCATAGAATATTCCACATCAAATTACTAACTTAAAGTGGACTAAAAAAAATCACATGTCAATAGATAAAAATGTCTTTTAATTATTTTTCTATACTACAATTCAAAGAAACCCAACTGTAATCCTGACATTAGAAGCCATATATAACATCTAAACATTTTTGGAAGACTATCTACTGACCGGCTAAATTGTTTCTCCACAGATAAACATTTTGATTAGTAAGGAAAATATTTTTAGTTAACCTATATCCATAATTATACAATCAATAATTGTTTATTATTTCCTCACATTTATAAATACAAATATATACTTGAAAAAATGCCAGGTTTATTTTGCTTCCCAGTATTGATGTCCTTATAATCAATCCACCAATATTAACCTTTTCTACTGCTAAGCCAATTGACTACAGCAACAGTTATTAAACCTTTTCCTACTCAAGACTTAATATCCACCTGTAATTAACCCATGGCAAACAAAATACTAGTGTTCATTGTGCTGCTTGTTTCAGGGATGAATGTGCTTGTTTTCTTCTCCTCATCACATATTTATTCCAGGGAAAGGACTACTTCATCATATTGTATGGGGGCTTTCCCAGGATAGAGATCAAAATTGGTCAGATTTGTGGTGGTTCAACAAACTGATACATTTTTATGAAGAAAGAATGTAAACTTCCATGCATTAAAAAAAGGCTTCCCTTTTATGGTCATAAGGAATACCCTTGAAACATAAACCATGCATAAACTAATATAGTGAGGCTTGTTTGTGTTTGCAAACAACTGCTCTAAGAAATTAATATAAATATAATCAATGTCAAGTTATTGCCTCTGAAATCTTATAATGACAATTCAAATATGAACATGATTGATTATTTGACTGCTGACAATAGTTCATAAGACAGGAGAGGGTCAATGAATATCAACTGTGAAAAGTCTCCTTTTGGCTTCTGAAGTGAGTGGGAATTTGGTTTAGCAGAGTAACAAAGCTTTTGTTTCCAATTTCCATTTCAGGCTCAAATACACAAAGGTGCTTTCTGTACAGTTAAGACATTCAGAAGTATAATCATGAGTTTCCCCACAGCTCCTTCATGTGACACAGGACCAAGTGGACTATAAAGAGGTATGGAAGTACATCCTCATGAAGAGGAACTGCAGGCAGAGTGTAGGAGGATAAAGGAACAAATAAATAAGAATACTGCATTCCACACACCCCCCCCACCCCGCCTTCTCCGAGAAGAAAGCTAAACTAATAAGAAAAAAAAGAATGCTCAAAGGAAGTGGGTTCTACCTGAAAACACCTGAGCCACCAAAATGACCAATGGAAAACATCACGGACACACGAGAGGTACATAACTATTTTCTGAACTGTTGTGGCATAACCTTCAACAATTACCATTCAACTAAACTAAACTAATGATTCAGGAAAAGTAAAACTTAAAAAAAATGTGCTCCTTAATTGAAGTACTAAGACATTCACATCTCACAGATGGTAAAGGATCTAACTTATGCAATGCTAATATGTTGTCTTCTTCATGGCTTCACTTTTTTTAACATAAAACTCCTGCATTTTTAACAAATATGAAAAGTTACAAAATAATTTAAACATTGTGACTTCCTCAAATTAATACCTGATTATTGGAAGCTATGTGTAAAATTTAAGAAGTAGTTTTCATGGATAATCATCTGAATATTTGGGATTAATTTGGAGTGTTTCCCATAGTCCTAAATCTATTTAAACAGATAAACACTGAAACCTACACTTAGAGCGCCCAGGTCTTTACAGGATTGCACTATATGAAACTGACCAACCATTTCCACTGGTTCAAAACATCCTGCATATATGCTAATTGGATTCTTTGAGCATATTGTCCATCAGTACAACCATACGTACGTACTTTAAAATTTTCTATTATGAAGGAGCCCACAAAAATGCAATGAATAAAACCTCAGTGTGTATCTGCATGTGCACCTCTTTTTTTTTTTAAATAAAGAAAATAATTTAGCCTGTTGCTGCATTATGAAAGATAATGAATAATTAATATGGATGCCTGCTTGACTTACAGTCACATAATTCGCATTAATGTAATCTTCATCTCCTTGCAATATTATCCGTGTGGCATCGTCTGTAGCAAAAAAAAAAAAAAAAAAAAAATTACATTAGCTGTAAAACAGTTATCTGGTCTGCTTTTTATTACTATTTCTTTTTTTAGGACAAATAGAAGAGTTGTAGGCACTTTGAGAACAGGCACATAAACAATGCCATATAAAGCAAAATGGACCATCTTTTAGAAAGAAAAACGGACACCTGATTAGAAAACAGAATCAGTTATGGAAAAGTTCATGGCAGTAATTTCATAAAATGTAAAGCAGCATTTTGAGGATAAAAAGGGAACAGAAGTTTTATACTGAACACTCACAAGGTAGAACATCTTTGTATCGGTTTTTGTCCATATTTTGAGGTACTTTTGCACATGTAACAGACAGCCCCGGCTTCTTCCTGTAAAGTTGCTAGAAGACAGATATGAAAAAAGACAACATTTTGAATAGTTTGCTTAACTGGATACAAGTGTGCTACAGGTACCAAATACATCCACTTAAAAAAGCTAGCTTAAAGCAACCATGCAATGGGTTTAAAAAGACTTTAACTGCATACAAAAGTAAAGTGAAGATCATTTTTAAAACACGTGAATAGAATCCTATCATCTCCTGTAGGTAAATGTTTGAAAAAATCAAGGAAATATGGGAATCATTGACAAACTAACTGCTTCTAACCAAGGTCTGCTTTCTGTTATAATAAATTTAGTAGAATGATGTGTTCTAAAGGTATTGGAAGGAAGGTGGTAACAATAAAACTAGTCAGAAGAGAAGTAAATGCTGAAGGCTAGCACTTCCCAGAATGAATGGCAATACAAATTCACATCCCCTTTGACTTACTGGGCCAAAAGTGATATTTTCTTCCAAGGACTTAAAAGGAAGCAGTGAAAACTTAGTGTATTACAGTATCTTGGCATATCTGAGTGTTATTTGGAACCATATCTTACCCAAAATAGCACAGGATTTTTCTGGAGTAAATATACTAATGTAAATGACAGCAGATAGGGTGCATACATGTACAGGCAGGTACGTATGCTTGCAGCAGCTCAAATAGGAGTGACACATTTGATACAGGAATTTTTGCCTCAGTGCATGTGCCTGGACATGCACTTTGGTGTGGGGAAAGTTGTGCCACTTGGGGCAAACTGACCCTACCCAGCTCCTTCCAGATCTTCAGCCAGGGGGAGTTAAGAGGTTGGGGCCAGCACCTGTATTGGCCCCAGCAGTTTAAAAAGCTGCCCTGAAGAGCATCTGAGGGCTACTTGCCCTCAGGAGCTTCTGAGACCTGGCCAGTTGGTATCTGGGGACACCAGCCCCTTGTGCCAGCTGTACTGCTGAAGCAGCCCTAAGTGGCCCCTGCACTCTCTACCCACTGCAGCAGTCCGGCAGCGATGGCTGTTGGCTGGCTGTGACCTGCTGCCACTGGTGACAGCATCTGCCCCCTTGAACCCGTGGCCCCATGCCTGCCAGACCCAGACAGGAACTGCACAGATGCCTGGGCTGTGGTACAGACACTGCAGCAGAGCCACCTGTACCTCTGAGCCAGCTTCCAGTGGGCCGTGGCTGCACATTTGGCCTTAAGGCAGCACTGCTGTCATGTCTTCTAGTGTTCCTGCTCTGCCATCTGGGCAGCTACTGCCCAGAAGATGTGCTCCTTGAGGTGGCCCACTTCAAAAACTGTCGAAGCGGGTCCTCCTGGCCCCCAAATGGCCAGGTTAGCCACCTCATCTGCACTCCAGCTAGGTCATTGGTGCTGGCCCCGGGCCAGGTGCTGGCCCCAACCTCTAGCTCCCCCTGGCTGAAGAACTGGGAGGAGCTGGGCAGGGTCAGTTTGTCCCAAGTGGCACAATTTGGCACCAAAGTGCATGTTCCAGCATGTGTACTGAGACGCAAATCTCCGATACAAATTTGTGCCGTTACTATTTGAGTTGCTGCAAGCGCCTGTTCCTGCATGTCTGGAAACACCCATAATGCACAGCAAATGAAGCAAAGGAATAAACTGAATGAGGCATGAAGTCTATTAAGGAAAAAATAACTATGCAATCACGTAAGTGAACCTTTACTCTGATACATATTACAGTTGGGTGCACAACTACAACATTTGTTACTTCATAACCTAGTAAATGAAGTGCCTAGGAAAGTGGATAACTGTAGAATCCCAACAGACATAAACCAAGAAACCTTCACTGTCCTTAGTGTAGCAAATCTACTGATTTCTACTGTACTGATTTCTAGCGAACTTGAAAAAAAGAAACAAAACAAAAACAAACAAACAAAAACAAGAACAAAAAACCCCTGCATCCTGGTATCAGATACAGAAATCTTATTCTGTTTTACAGGAACCATGAGTCTTAGTTAATCTTGATCTTCTATTCACAATCAGAGAAACAGTGAGAATTAGTTATAAGGCAAGCAAGCCAAAAGCTTATAAGGCTTGTGAATTTTAAACACTCCCTTGTTGTTACTTGAAAGAATTAGTAAATAACTTAAATATGAAAAGTACGTATTTCCTTCCAATAAATACAATGACATTATAATGGATCTCTCTTTATAAAATAGACACACATTGTGTGTGTGCACATACCAACACACATTTACATTACTATACTTGTAATAAGAACAGGAACTACACTTGATCTGAGCCAACTACCATATATACCAAGTAAAAAAAAAGTTTTAGTCATCTAATCTCCAGTAAATCTTAATTTTTCCAACAATAATCTTAATACTTCTAAAGCATTTAATGTCTTGCAGTTTTAAAACAATTTATGTTAAAGCAAAAGAATGATCACAGAACACCTTCTCATATGAAAGTTGTGACTACTGAAATAATGTGCTAAAAATTAGTTCCACTGTAAGGTTAATTGAATCCTGAAGCTAAATATCACAGCTCACTACACACTTTCAGCTTGAACGGCATAAACAGAAAAAAGCCTTATGGGAACAGACATAGTTAGTATACATACATATTTAAGTAAATATATTTTTTAAATATTTGCAGCAGCCAGAATTCAAGTTCAGCTTTCTGCCTGACTATTGATTTATGCTTCTGATAGGAGACAGGGGTGTTACTAAATGTCAAGGTTTTTCAATGTCTTTGCTGGATTAAACTGTAATGTGTTGAAGTCTACTCACCAGATAATTCCTCAGCTTTGTAAGTAAAAGTATCACTTATCCTTTCACATATTTAAAATGTGTTAATTATAATAAAACTGAATCAGTGAGTAATTGTTGCTATAGTAAATACTATGATCTTTGTTCCTCATCAGAGTTTTTATATTTTAAAGATTGTTTATGAATCTGTGATTTAAACAACAGATTTTTTAAACTGAATTTTAGTTGGTTAAGTCTAGCATATGAACGAATTACCTTGATCCTAGAGACTTAAGGGAAACAGCTAATGAGCCATTGCTTATTGTTTGAAAAACTCACAGAAAGTTTGGGAGGTAACAGAAGATTGGAAACAAACACTAGAAGAGTGGATCCTGGCAACTGCCTTCCAGTTGGAGACAGCTCTCAAATATTAGCTGGTATAAAAGAAAGCAGGCAACCTTTTCTTTTCTAATGACTTTTTAACTTATAGAATATTAGCTTAAAATGTGCACAGACACACACATTGTAAAGTACCTTAACAACCACAAATGAAATGATATCGTGCCAAGTTCTAGGTTTAGTCTTGCTTTAATATGTTCATTAGCAATCTTGGGGGGAAAAATTACATTTGCAGTGACTTGTATACAGGTTTCCCTTGATTCATGCGGGTTCTGTATATGCAAATTCGCTCTTACGTGATGACCCTTTTTATACCCAAAATTCGTTATATGCGAGGTAAATTCACTCTTATGCAACTGGCATAGGCACCCCTCCCCAAGCAGATAAGTCTATGGGGGGAGAGGAAAGGGCCATGGGGCCGGAGGGACCCATTCACCCCAGCACCTGATGCAGCTGCTCTGGGAGTGGCCGATGCCAGCTGTCTGCAGCTGCTGGGCTGCACTGCACCCCAAACCCACTGGGGCTCCACTTGTCCCCACTCACCCCAGCCCCTGGGCTGCACTGTGCCATGCTGTAGGCAGGTGGTGTCGGCTGTTCCCGGGTCTTCTGCAGCAGAGGCTGGGGTGAGTGGGGAGACGTGGAGCCCTGGGGCACAGTAGTTTGTCCCCGCTCACCCCAGCCCGTTGCAGCATACCCAGGAGCAGCCGACGCCAGCAGCCTGGAGCTGCTGAGCTGCATCCCACCCCAATCCCCCCAGGGCTCTGATTGTCCTCACTTACCCCAGCTCTTGGGCTGCGCCGGGCCATGGTGCAGGCAGGTGGTGTCAGCTGCTCCTGGATCTGCTGCAGCAGGAGATGGGGTGAGTGGGACAAGTGGAGCCTCGGGGGGTTGGGGCACAGTGCAGCCCAGCAGCTGCAGGCAGCTGGTGTCAACCAGTCCTGGGGCCACTGCAGCAGGGACTGGGGTGAGTGGGGAAGAGCTGTGCCATGCCCCAGGGCCCCACTTCTCCCCACTTACCCCAGCCCCTGCAGCACACCCAGGAGCAGACAACACTACCTGTCTGCACCACAGCAAGGCGCAGCCCAGGGGCTGAGGTGAGTGGGGGAAAGTGGTGCCTGGGAGGAGTTTCATTGACATTTAATATTTGAGGTATTTGTTGATTTAAGTATGAAAACAAAGACAACCATTGCATTACCCCTGTTTTATATCAATTAGTTTATTTTATGATCCCCTTGCAGTTTTGGTTTTCACTATGCTGCCCGCACCCTTCCTCCTCCTCCCCTCCCTTTATTTTTCCCCTTAAATCAGCAATAGGACTACTTCACACAAGTGGTGAAGTGATTGGATATTTCTGTTAAAATGGGCATCAGTGAATTTGGTAAAATAGCTGATATTTAAATTGACACCTTTAGTTTTTACAATTCATACAACATGGAGACAGTGAATAATTTACACTCCTCAGACACTATGTCAGGAAATCTCAAAGAGGTATCACAACATACTTACAACAAACTCATATTTGGGAAGTTTATTTCACAACAATGAGCACCAGAAATGTGTCTTTCTAAAAATAAAATATTAGGTCCAAAAATAATTTGGCAGTACTGTGGACCCAAACCAGGAATTGATCATCAAACAGGTCAGAACTCAAACCTTCCTGAAGACAGATTATAAGCCATTAGAAAAATGTCTTGCAGTGTCAAGGAAAGATGCAAACTTTGAAAAAATATAAAAGTGGAAAGAAAAATTCATGCTGCTTTAGAAAGGCAATATTCTGTTTGTGGGCAATTTAAAAATCAATGGACCATGCTTTTTAGAGGCTCAAAAATCACTATAAATGAGCATTTGGAATCTTGACAGCAAGGCAGGCATTGAGAATCAAGTTTACTGCACTGAATAGCCTTTATCACAAGAAAAGAACTTGAGTAATGTCGCAGGGCACCTCGGTGCCTGCTCCTAGAGAGGGGAAAATTGCTGGGGAAAAGCCCTAGCAGGGATAATGAGTACAGCTGTGGGTTGCCAGGGCGACTAATAAGCGTCAGCTGCCTGTAGGGGGCAGCGCCTGGCTCCCATAAAGCCAAAAGTCAAAGCCAGGCTGGCAGTTCTCTGCCAGCAGCCAGAGGGGCAGGAGCTCCTGGAGCTAGGAAGTGAGAATCACAGGAACCACTCTAGCTGAGAGAAGGATGGCAGCTCTGAGAGGTTTGAGCACCATGGTTTAGCCTGATGGCTTGGAGTTAAGTTGTTACAGCCAGAGAGCGTTATGTTTGAGTTATAGCCAGGAGGCTCGAGTTTGTGTTCAGGCTTTGATATTACACCGGAGGCTTGGGTGAGGCTGTAGGGGTTGGAGGAGGCCTCATAGGGACCCCAGTGGTATGGGGACCTCAGCGCCAGTGCAGGCGCAGTGCCAGTGCAGGCGCAGCTCACAGTGAGAAGCGCAACCAGTGGGTTGCGGGAGGGGAACAAAGACCCCGCCTTGTGTGCGGGGTATGTAGACCCCAGCCCCAGAGCGGGGCAGCATTGAGAAGCCCGAGGTGGGCGCGGCGAGCCCCGAAGAAGGGGAGCACCACAGTAGGAAGCCCAGGACGGGCGCAGCAGACGCCAGCAAGGGCATCACTTACAGGGTGCATAGACCCCAGCCCCAGGGAGGGGCGATTACTGAGGAGCCCGAGAGGGGCCATACTGAGCCCTAGGGCGGGGCAATATTGAGGAGCCTGAGCGGGGTGATATTTAAGAAGCCCGGAATGAGTGTGGCGGACCCGGTAATAGGCCTGCGCCATAGGGAAACCCAGGATGGGGGCAGGGTGCCGCGGTGGACCCCGATGGAAGGCGTTAGTGGCACAGCGCCCCAGGAGAAGGGCAAGGTGCTCCGGTTGTCCCCCGAAAAGGGGATAGCAGCACGGTGAGCCCGTACCAGAGAGGGCAGTAGTGTGGTGGGCTCAAAGGACCGGTGAGGCCCGAGAGGGGCGACACATTAGAGAAGGCCCGAGAGAGAGAGAGGGGGGCATATGCTTATGGTGACAGGCCAACGTCTAGTACATCAGCGAGGCTTGGGGCGTGGTATTAGGGGCTGGTAGGAGCCACATGCAGCCCATAAGGCTAGGGTGCCTGGGAAGCACCCATCATACCAGGAGACCACAGGAGTCCAGGAGAACCGCGGGGACAGAGGTCCCGAGTACCCGTGCCCAGGGAGTCATAGGCAGCCTCCCAACCTTATATGTACCAGCAAGACGTGGCGGGCGAGAATAAGAGGGTGCCTTGGGCTGGCCTTGACACGGAACGAGGGACCTCGAGGAGATCATGGCCCTCCTGACAGACCCCGCTGTGACAGTAAGATTTTTCTACTTATTACTGCGGTGAAGGAGTGAATCTGATAAATTATATTTGCATGCATTTTAGTTGTAGACATTTTCATGGTGCTCACTGCCAACACAATTGAACTTGTTGTATATAGTAATGAATTTATCTATATAACAGGCCTGTACAGTAGAGACAAATCTCATTTTAAAGCCTGAGGACTTGAGGCATAGCAAGATGTAGTGATTTCTTGAAGGTCACACAAGCTGTATAATGGAGAGCCAGGAAAAACACTCAGATATTTTAAATTCATAAACCCATCATAAGAAAATGGCAGGAGAGAGCAGGCTCCAGCTATTGCAGACTGTAAATTACAGCCAAAAAAACGGGAAGACTTTTTTTTTATTGCATTAATAAAATATAATTTTATAATTTTACTGGGTGACAGTACAGACTAGACTGACTTCTGTCAGGGGAAAGAAACAACTAGTTTTGGCATAAAATAATTTTTCAAAAATGAACTTGATGGGCTTTCGGTGGTTGAACTTAATTAAAAGCAGATTTTTCTCAACAGATGGTAGTAGACTGAATTATCAGGCTTGCATTAAACACCAAGATGGAGAAGAGTTAGAATGACAGGTGATGTGCTCAATCTGTTGAGGTGGGGTTGAATGGAAATGAGAAAATGTCCAAGGTCCATATGCTTTGAAGTCACTCTTGCATCACAGCCACCAGGCAGTACCATGGCTACTGTAAATGTAATGTTACCTACTTCAAACTGAGTGAGCACTGTCCCATTTTCCAGACCTTTCTTCAGTTGTTCCATAGACTCTTCTAGTGTATCACCGTACTCTGAACATGTGGGAAGAATGGATTCTTGAAAATTCTGAGAATCGGCTTCATCTTCAGATTTGGTCTCAACAAAGTGTTTGAGAACTGAAAGACACACGAGCATATTTATTCTTTTCAGACCCATCCAAAGGCAATATCAGTTATGTCTTTAGCAAAATCTGTGTTAAAATATGTTGGTGTTCAAGGGTGATGTACAAACCTGGATGCTTCATGTTAGACTGCTAAACTCAAAATTAGGCCTCTCAGGTAACTTTGGCTACCTTTTTGTGTGCGCTGACCAATGTCAACTCCTGAAAAAATGACTAGGAGTAGCAGGCATTCAATGGGTGCATCTACACTTGCAATTAACCCGACTGAATAAACTCTGGTGCAGTTTGCACCAGCATTGGCTGCTCCCAGGACCAGCATCTACATGCGTCCCTGGAATCGCAGCAATGCAAGCCAGGGCAGAGGAGTCCCAAGCTGGCAGAGGGTCTGGAAGTTCAGCCGTGGGCTCTGGCATCAGAGCTGGCTGGGGCATGAGGGTGCTACAGTGCAGGGCTAGTTAGCAGGTTTGCCCCACACTGTAGCACCCTTGTGTCCTAGCCAGCTCTGGTCACCATCTTCATGTGCGTTTTGGCACACTAAATGACTCAGCTGTAGGATAGTACTTGTTCTGGACAGTACTATCCTACAGCAGAATTAATTAATTTACTGTACTCTAATATGGCAGAGCTAATTACCCAGCACTGCAGTAAAGCACATGTGTAAATGCACCAAACATGTTTGAAAAATTACACAACTTCTCTCCATACCTAAATATTGATGCAAGAGTTTAACTTGAAGCATCCAGGTTTGAAAATGTTATATTTATGTACCAGGCAAACAGGGAGGCAACTCAGTCACTAGCACAGGAGAAGCTAGAGAATTTAGTCTAAAACAGGGGTTTTCTTGGGAAGGCCCCAGGGGTATTTGGAAAAGGCCCTAGGGGGTACGTGCGGGTGGGTGGGGACAGAGCACTGCCACCTACCACCCCACGCTGCCGTTTCCCAGGAGCAGGGCTGGGGCGGGGCAAGGGCCATGGTCGCTACCATCCATCACCCTGCACCGCCACTGTATGCTTGTCCCCCCCCACCCCCACCCACTCTGTGGCTGGGGGTACACTTATTAAAACACCTCACAAAGGTGCCAGGTATCCAAAAAAAGAGACACAGTAAATGGAAATGGACAGCTGATGAGTCTGTTTTCCTAAATGAATTGTTATGGGCTTTCCATGGGAAAGAGACATTGCACTTAGAAAACTTAGGTTTTTTGCTATTGATCTGTGATCTCCTGTGGTCTCTCTTTAGGTACTGCGTACAGTTGGAAATGCAGTGTAAAGCCTCTCTGTATCTGTAGGCATCATCCAACAGTTACTATGTGAATCTGTAAACCAAACAGAAAAACTGTAAGCCAAAGACTCACACCTCTATTGGGATTCTGGGAAAG